CGGCAGGCTTGTGAAGAGTGTTGTCTTTGTTTTTCTTATCACTTTGATATTCCATTTTCTTAGCAACACTCGAAATTTCTGACTCAGCTTACAGGAAGACAGATACATCCAATTTTCGTCATCCTCCCGATTTCTGATCTTATTTTCATAAAACCCTTACTAAAATATATTCTTTATGACCCTTATATGTCTTTCTATAAAGCTGAGAACAAGGTGAGATCAAGAATTGATTAGAAAACGTTTTGGGAGGCAGGTCGTAGTAAAATTCACTGACAGCTTGAGGCCTATGCGTATCATTGTGAGAAGACTCACTACAACCCTTAATTATAATATGCAGCCTATGGAGACAACAACTCTTGTTCAGGATCTACCGATAGCAACAAAACCTACTTTTACTTCTGCCTAAAGCTAGGCTTTCATAAAAAATTTAAAGAAGAGTACGCTGTACTATGTACTCTAAAGTAAGTCTGCTTAAAAATACAACCAATTCGCGAAAACAAACAAGCTCTATACAAAGAAATACTTGAGTCAAACCAAAAGACGCACAAACGTGGTCTCCATAGATATGATTAAGTTTTATTAAAAAATATAAAAAAGAAAAAAATTACCAACATTTTCTGGCATTTATAAATGACTAAACTTAAATATTGCGGCTCACTATAACAGATTAAATCTTATGATTTCACTATAAAGAGAAGTCAAAATCCATGCTATTTGCAGCAGAAAGATTAATCCAAGCTAGATTTACTTTCATAAAAAGCCTTTTATACTAAGATATAAAGAATGAAGGAACTGTATACTGCAAATGTCCCAAACATAGCCCTACACATTAACGAACATAGAGATGGCTACAAGTGATGGGCAGCACTCGCCCATCTAATAACATGACAAACTCTCCGGTATTCTGATTCAAATATGAAACCCTTTTAAATAAGGGTTCTAACTCCGAAATGGCTGAAATTAATTAAGAAAAAGGGATTTAACGAATGAAAATTTCCCTGAAGTACAGCAGGATAAAGCGCATCATAAATACCAACGGCAAAGAATATTCATTAATTCACTGTTTGGTATAGTGAATGGAACAAGTAAATTAAGTAATAAGAAAAGAGTGAGGAAACTTTCATAACTATAGGAAGGAATGTGCATCAAGGAATGGAGAATTGGCAGGTAATTCCATAGTCCCACTTAAGAAATGGTTAACGGTTAGAGGGTTGTATAGCAAAATTTAGAGGGATCAGTGAAATTGATCATAAAGAGATTCAAAATAAGCATTGACGAATGAGATATCAGGAATATTGAAAGAATGTTGCCCACATTGGTTGATAGAGAATAAATAGAGAAGCGTAAGATACAAACACAACAATTTGGAAAAAATTCGATAAAATAAATTACTTGGCTTTCAAAGTTCGATTTATGAACCTTGTAAAATGATTTTTTACTTAGAAAGAAAAGTTGGTTGGAAGGAATTCGTGAGATGGTCTAACCGGAAGCCAGAGAATTGCCGCGGAGTGAAGACTGTGCGATAGTACGAAGAAGTCCTTGGCTCAAAGTCCTGGGGGCCCGATGAACCGATGTCATTTGATAGACGTCGTAAGAGTAGAAAACAACACTTTACGTATAAGGGTACCAAATACAATAAGCAATGAAAATAAGTGTGGCCCCGAGCAATCACACTAACATCATATACGTCACTTTGCGACCCTAATGAGGTGTACCGTGATTTGGTAGGCTAGTTCATGAAGGAGGTTGAAGCATGAAAAGGTAAAAGTAAAAGTAGCTGTATGCTTGTCTAGATAATCGAACGTATGATCATGCAACTTTTTGTGTATGCGGTATTGCGTATTGTGCAAATTTAAGTCCAAATCATAAAAGTATGATCGTCCTAATCAGACTAAAGGCTATTCAAGCCTCCTGATCTTATTCAGCGATTCTTCCTCTTCTCATCTTTATTTTCTTGGGTCATTGTATTTGATGCGTCTTTTTTAAAGTATGGCTTTTCGTCTAACATGACAGACGAGAGTTTGGCAGGGGTTCATCGAGGTAACAGAACTGTTAGCTAATAATTTCTTCGCAAAATCCAACGGTCTTCACTCCGCGGCAATCCTCTTTAGGCTTCAAATGAAACCATTTCACAAATTCCTTCTAACCAACTTTTCATTCGAAATGGAAAGTCACGTTCCAATTGATATCTTGATATCTTCGGAGAGCTATAAACATATTTGTAGATAGAATGAAAAATGTCGAGGTCGGCAGGCTCATTGATGAACTCTTATTGCGATATTGATGTTTGAGAAAATAGATGAATCAATACGAGCCTTCAAAAGACAATTGACTAAATATTATGAATTTTCAACCTATTCTCATTTTAGTCAACTACCAATAAGAAACAGAAGGTATGAATACCAGGATGATGTGGCCTTTTGTATGGTCGTGGTCTTCTTTTGTTGTACAGTAGTTGTTTGACCTTGTTTTCATTTCTTGGTCATATTAGTAGGAATACCTAGGGAAACGCACCTTGTCTGGAGTCAATAGTACGCAGGATAAATTCAAGATTCGGACCGTGGACATGGTACATTCTCAGAAGTTTCGCCGGCATCGGCAGTAAGGATTGCCAGTCTCAGCAACCAAGTTACAACTCGTTAAAGAGGCATGCGTACTATGGACTCCAGACAAGGTGCGTTCCTCTAGGTCTTTCTGCTAATATGACCAAGTTGATTAAACAAGGTCAAACAACTTCTATAAAAAATAGAGATTGGCTGAGAAATAGCTGGTTAATTAAAATTTACATGATCATGAAATTTATGGATTTGTGGTGAAAAAATAATAGGATTAAGTTTATAATTGAGTTAGAGAACGAATAAAAATTGCCATTCTTTGATAATACTGTAATAAAAGACCCATCTTAACTAGAAAGGTATATCAGTCGAAAGATGTCGAACATTATTGGAATTTTATTTAAAATTTAAAAAAGTAGAGTGGAATTGAGTATAGTGAGGTTTCTGATAGCCAGAGGAATTAGATACAATGTCAAAGGAGAAGGGAAACTAAGGCATATTTAAATCCCAGAAACCAGATGTAAAACCAATAGCATAAAAGTTATTAAGTTATTTTGAAGAAGGAAATCCTGATCATGAAAGCGGTAAAAAAAAGATAGATATTGGTGCTCGATGAAAGGAGCATATCAAATTGAGCGGGTATTTGCGAAGTGAAAAGCAAGGACTCCTTAATTTAACCATTCCAGAAAGGACAAGTTAAGGAGTTTATTCGTATTTGCTTCTATAAGACAGCATACCTAGATTGCTACGAACTATGTAGTGACGAAACAGCCCAATAAAAGCACGTTTATCATAAAACAAAAAGGCCTGCAATATGGGCTGTAAAAATAGATCAGAGACCGTATAATCTAATTGCGTTAGAGGATAAAATAGTCCGAGAAAAGTAAGAGAATTGTGTAGAAGAGGACTATGGTAAAAAATTTGGGGGTAATTAAAGAGATTAACAGCAGATAAACCTCACGTAGCGGGAAAAAGAACAAAGATTATAGAAGCAGAGAAGCAGCAATTAGAAAATCGACATCAAGTAGGATAAGGGAAGAGAATATAAGAATGGGCGGACAAAAACTAAAATAACCAGAAAAATTTGCACAAATGATATTCTAGCATAAAAAATCTGTGACCCATATTGGTTCGAATATAATCACAGGTTACTTTTCGAGAGCAAGTGCGAAGATAAAGAAACGAAAATGCAAACCTGGAGGACTAAGAGCAGAAGTCAAGCAGAGGCATGCTAGAATAAAAAAAAGCAAGAACAAATAAAGCTTGGCGCAAATGCTTCATCCACTACCACTTGAGAGGAAATAAAGCAATTTAAATTTAGAAAATAATTCATACAGCAAAAGGATTCAGGAAGATAATTGGTTTGCATAAGAAACCTTCATGTGATTAAAACTGCTCATTTGACGAGTTGATAATTTGTTATAAAGAAAGTGAAGCAGCATTTGTTTTACGACTAATCAAGACGGCGTAGGCCGTCATATCTGTATTAACGGGATGAACATTGTAAAATTTAGAGAACAAGATAAGGACAAGAATTTTAAAAAAAAAGATCAGATATAATCACATGTAAAAGAAGAAAGTAGACAAAAAAAAAATAAATGTCTCTGGCAAAAGCGAATAGTAAACAAATAGAAAAGTTTTGAGATGAAGAGCATATCATACTAATCATATGATAGTAAATACGATGAACGAAATTAAGCTAACCGGACCAAGCATAAGCATCATGAACTTCAACCGAGATTAGGCGTTCGGTCCGTCCACTGTGTTCTGAAGCAGCCACCTTGGATATTCTAGGATGTGAGTGTAGAGGTGATGCTTCTGATTGCGATGGAACCGGAAGTTGGGTTGGGTTATTTGTTTCAGGAGATAGAAGCCCAGAATTAGATGGCACCGGACTAGACGATCTGGCAAAGGAAGAGGCAGGCCAGTGAACCGGGACGATATCGACTCTGAGATTTTTGGCTGCTTCGATATCCAAATCATCGGGGTCGTCGAAGAAAGTCGGTTTAAATTCTGTTAAAAAAATATTTGCGATAAGATAAAAAGTTGAATTGTCTGTCCTTGTGAAGGCACATTTCAGATAATTAGAGGTAAAGATTAATTCGCGCTAGATCAAAGTAGATACTATATCACACATATATAGTTTGTGTTTTTGCCATTTTCATGCGTTTGGATAGACCAGATAATCAAAACATGGATTTTGCATGATTGCTATAGCCAGACGAGCTCTCGCATCTGAAATTTTTATTTTCAAGACAATGGGAAGATAGTCTTCATCATATGATTTAAACAACTTTCAATCCAGAACATCGAAGAGTCGAGTCCGAGCTGTAACCGTAAACTATTTTAAATCAATTTATCTAAAAATGTTATAGAGCACACAAATCAAATTGATGCAATAGAGCTAAGAGACATTCATTCACACATGCAAAAAGAACAGTAGTATGGAATTCATCACTAGAGAATATGGCACCTCCAGATAAATGTTAGAGATGAAAAATATTAGGCAAACTTGTTTAGCCAACAGCTTTGAGGACCATGTATAGTTGTTGTTTGATCTTGTTTTCGCAATTTGATTATATTAGCAAAAAGACCTAGAGGAAGGCATCTTGGACATAATATGCATGATGATGTCCAGATTCGGACCATGGACTTGGTACATTCTCGTAAGCTTCGCCGGCATCGTCACTGAGCCTTGTCATTCTCAGCACCAAGCTAAAACTCGTCAGAGACAAGTTAAGCCAATCTTTTGACCAACTTTCTGTCGAATCGATTGTGCAATCATTCATCTTTATATCGTTGTCACTTTAGCCAATACCTACGCTATTGTCTCACCCTAGTCCTGTCACAACTTCTGGCATGTTTGTATTCCACAAAAAATACGCCTTTTGGAGAATTTACCATGGCATCCTCATACCTGCTGTTTGCCTTGCTTCCCTCCCTTTCAAGTGGCTGATCCGACTCGAGCCTTCTCTCCGGATCTGCTTAATTAGCCATTAGGACCGTCTCCCATCTTTCTGATTGGCCGATTTCACTCGGTTCCAGCTCCGGTGTACCTTTACTTCAGGTGCTATTTCTCAAGACTTCAGTAGCCCGTACGAATTCACCTCATCTTCAGAGCATATAGGCTCTGATTCCTATACTTGCGGATATTAGGCATTACCTTCAGGCATCATCTTCCAGATAAAACCCGTGTACCCCGACAAACTGTTGACATCTATCTATGATCGCCTGCTGAACCTTAAGTGGATAATTAGTCAATTTGGTCATAATGCCCAATTTCTGTGACCAAATCCTTCTCCCTAGTCAGGTGACACGTCGGGCCCCCAAGTTGTAGTTAGTTATTCGAGCTGATTACACTCATCGAGAAGGTCTTCTAACTCTTGTTTGCAGGAAACTCTCTTAAGTCATTTTAACAAAAGTACATAAATGAATGTAGGTTTGTAAAATATAGGAGCTAAATACATTTTTATGTATATTTTGTAGCAGAAAAAATTAAATCAGCCTTTACTATGATATCCAGTCTACTGAGAATAGAAATGTAAAAAACCAAGCTTTTCAATTCGATTACTGTATCTCGATGCCATCCAATGTAGTTGACTTACCAGAGGGTAGATGACCTAAAGTATTAATCTTTTATCCTTCCCTTAAAACCTGAGTAATTATCAACTTTTCACTAAACCCTTCTTTCAACCACCACATTTAGCTAACATACACTCAATATGACAAGAGATGAGATTTCAGGAACTCCAATCATATACATAAATAATATATATGAGGCAGATATAAATATAATAATGTATTTTATATTCCTCCTGTGGAGGAAATATATACTATTAATAAATGTATAATAGTATATTATATAATAATGTATCTTATATTTA